TCTTTTGAAATGACATAAAGAAAGAAAAAAAAGGTTGCTTTTGACAAGCCATAGCCTGACTTATCCTCCGTCAGCATCTTCATTTTTTTCACACATGCGCTTTCTGGCAATCGGCGTAATAAAAGGAACTATGTCTGTTTTCCATGCCTTTGATTCTGCCCCTCATTATTTTAATCCCTTTTCAATCTGTTCTGGAGTTGGCCCAACAACGATAAGCAAATCCTTCGATGGAGTTCTTAATTGATATTTCTTCGACTCTCCTCAACAGTAGCATTTTGGCATCCAGAAAGGATTTGGTGTCATCCGAGTGGTAGAAAATATATTTTAATCTTTTCACAGCGGCTTCATTTCAAAGACGTAGCATTTGGGGTGCCAGATGGGGTGGCAAAGAAGTTGCCTAAAGGGGCAGGGCACTGATCTAGTCGCCGCAGGAACTTTTCAATTAAAAGAAGAAAGAGTTTGCAGTTTTGAAGCATTAGAAAGATATGTCTTGTCAATGGCTCAGTGTCTCTATCAATACTGATTATTTTTCAATCTGCTCCTGGAATTCTTTTGAATTCTATCTACAGAGTTTCACGTTAGGTGAGAAAGAATCTACCTGATAAGCTGTTATGGCAGTCTCTTCTAATTAGGCTTCCCGTTTTACAAAATGATAGTCTGGTGCTGTGACATGCCAGGATAGATCCATAAGGATACGCTATCATTAATTTGTTCCTGTGTAACCTTGAAACTTCACTATTCTAATACTTCGTAATATGTGCAACTGCCCTTGTGGATTGTTCAGCTAAAACAATAAACAGGACGGGCTGCTGAGGTTATAATTACTCTGTGTTTATAATATTCCAAAGTAAAAAACAACTTCCAGGCATCCTTCAGCTATACTCTATGGTCTTCACATTGGCATATAAAATGCTGAAACAGCTTGAGCCATTGAAGTTAAGAGATATATTTGCATTAGTTTTCGACAGACTTTTTCTATGAAATTTTGTCTCCCAGTTGTTGACCTAATTCCCATTCTTGATGCATTCCAGAACTCATTCATATATGAATATCTGCCATTATCACACTCCACACTCCAAATAGATATTATTTAAGATATTTACCTTCCACATTTGTAGTGACTATCATGCAACCATGTATGTGCACTTTTGTTTGCAGACTTTCATACAAAACAGGATATCAAAATGCATGAAGAACAGTGTCAGGGCCAGAGGCGCTATCCCATTTCCCACAAAAGCACATTTATCTTTAGGGAACAAATATGTGCCATGACTATTGCTGCTTACTAGAGAATTTATTTCTGTAATAAGAAAAAAGTTCTTATATAGAAATTTCTTCTTTCATAGCTAAGCAATATGCTGGATTATTTTGATCTGTTGATTTGAGTGCTCTGTTCTAAGCATGATAAAGTTTGGAGCTAATTGAGTATGTGTACATTAACAGCACAGTTTCATACATAGGTATGTGATTGTTGCTTAATAAGCTGTTTGAGTCCTTTTGAAAATTGCCCCTGCAATATCCGTCTCAGTATTTATTTCACATAGATAATTCATGTTTCGTTGTTTAAAACTTCTGGCATTGTTTGGGTGAGATGATATTTTACTTTTCACTTAGGTTCTTCCAGTAGATTGGTCAAGATTGCCTTTGAAATGTAGACATCAATGTTGTGATTTTCCACTTACAAGTCACTGACTCACCACTTCAATTGTCCACAAAAACGGACATCCATAGTCTGAAGGGGCAGGAGAAGCAACTAGCGCAACTAGCACAAGTTCCATATCTCAGTTGGGTATGATGGTGCACCTATAAAAAATTGGGTCCTTTACGTGACGATGTCAAGAAAAGGACAAGTCTGGTTTTTCAAGCCAAAATCTAGTTGTACAAAGTTGGATGGCTTCTAAACATTCCTGTTTTAATTTATGTACTCAACATAAATATTTCATTTCCTAATTTCATTTTTGTAAATTGTAGTCTGGTGTGTCTTTTTTTTTTTTAAAAAAAAAATTACATTTGACACAAACTTTCTCTATTTACCTACAGGGCTGGTTTAGCCCTGGCCAAGTCTTTGTCCTAGATGAATACTGTGCACGTAATGGAGTCAGAGGCTGTCACAGGCATCTTTGCTACCTCAGTGATTTGCTTGAAAGAGCAGAAAACGGAGCAATGATTGACCCCACCTTACTACACTACAGTTTTGCCTTTTGTGCATCACATGTTCATGGTAACAGGTAAGATGGACCAGGTGTGTCTCAGCCATTTTGGTAACGTTGTTTTTTGAAATGCTGGTTTCTTTGGATAATGCATAACTATACTCATAATTTATGTTTTTTACTATATGGAAAATAGCAATTAGTTCTTGTCTTTAAAAAAAAAAGTAACCAAACAAAACCGAAGTCCATCTGGATTCAGACCTTTTAATGCTTGCATCACTTTGAAAAGACCATAAATTAAAGAATTCTGCCAAAGAAGAAACAGTTGAATAAATTCATCTATTGAGATAAGGAATTGGATGTGCTAAGTCAATATAAAAATGCAGATTAAGAACTTCTCATCTTTTTTTCTATTTTAGAAATTGTGGGAGTACAACAAATGATCACTTTTGATGCTTGTGTAAATAATTTCTGCACTGCAGTTGGTTCAAGAATTATATTTTAGGTTTGAGAATGATGGAGAAAAACTCAAAACCTGAAAAAAATATTTCAATTAGTTAAGAATGTGTAGACATTTGAATCTTTTGATTGCATCACAATAAGATGCAAAAGGAAATGAGATGTAGTAGCTGTCTTCTTTTTCTTCAGATCCTTAGCAATAATTTAAGGACTCTTTCAAATCCTTTGCAGGACTTAAGAGAGAAAATGAAATTACACAAGAACATTTTGTGCTGCATGGGCTTTGTCGACAGGAATAATACTTTATGAGATCTTAAGTCATGGAGATCAACTAAATGCTCATAAAATCTCTTCACAGTTTAATATATAATAGACACAGAATTACAAAGACTCTCTAAAGAGAAAGATTTTAGAGTCAGGGTTTTGAAGACATATCCTTATCCCCATCCCCTTCTTTGTGTGGGTATAAACACTTGCAGAATGCATTAACTTCTGTAATCCAATATGTTCATTCTGCTTACTTCTTAAGCTTCTACATCATGATTACAGAGTAACGAGAACACAGAATTCCTTCCACACCAGCATAATGGTGTGCAGGCAATTTTATATACCTCTCTACTTTGATTGGACTGAGGAAGCTGCCATTGTATCCCAAAGCCACCATTTCTAAATGCCTTAGCAATAATGGCCCATGTTTTAGGCTGCATCAGATTCCCTTTGTATTGAGACTTGCATGCTTATAGACTCAACATTTGCCTTGTTCTACCAATTAACCTTGCTGTAACAGATCAGAGTTAAATTCAAACTGAGATTGCTTATTTTTTAAAAAAAACTTTTTCATACTTTCAAACTTGTTTCAGAGTTTGACAATCACGTCCATTTTAAATCTGAAACTGTATAGACTGGTATAGCATTCCGTGCACCGATGGTTTTATTTTTTTTGGGAAGTTGCATTCTATACAGTGAGATTTCACACTCTGTTCTACATATGCTACTGCATAACAGAGTGTTATAAAATAATGAAGTGTTGTGTAAGCTCCCTGGTAAACATCATCATGAATTATTATACACATTGCTGGTATTTTACATTGTATGGCTGCCACTCAAGTCACAGTTCGCTCGATCCATCTCGTTAGGTTACAAGCACTCGGCTTGCCTTATTTTCTTTGTGGTTCTGATTTCCTTTTCTTCCTTTGCTGACAAATTGTTGGCATCTATTGTTATCATTTTATTGTTTAACGTTTAATTTTTAGCTTGTTTTTCTTTCATTTCTTCTGTTACAACACCTTGTTGCTTTCATTTTCTGTTTCGCTATCCTTATCTTTTTTTATGTCTTAATTTAAAACTCAACATCTCCAAAGTCAAACAATGGAAAAGATACTTGGTGGCATACAGCCAGTTGCAAATAACCCCCCAGCCTCTGAGGTAGAGGCCAAAAAGGATTCCAAAAGGGAGTCCAAAAAGAGGAAAGATAACAAATCTCAGCCACCTCCAGAACAAAAAAGGTAAGAAATAGTAGTTTAGTGGATGGAACCTTAATACAGGATCTAGAGGAATGTATGTCTTATTGATTTGAAATACTGGGGCAGCTCAGCCTTATAGGAGATAGATTAGTGTAGAAAGATTAAGTACAAAATTGCAGCACTTAATAAAATGCACAAGTTTCTTAACTCAAAAGTTAGGAATTGAGATCTATAACAATTAGCCCAGCATAATGCAATTAATATTTGGCACGGTGGTATCTTCAGGACCAGCGTCTTTAGTTAGGATTGACTTACCTGACACAAATACCCAGAGAGAAGTTGCTTGTAATCATGGGGTTGGATTAGAAGACCTCCAAGGTCCCTTCAACTCTGTTATTCTGTTAAGTGGAGAGGAGCCCAGGAGTAGGTGCTTCTTATAATAGTCCCCATGTTAAAGAATAGCCTGTGGTGGAATGTAGTCAGGAATTGCAGGAGAGGGGAGAGAAGGCAAAGAGACAGCAGAGCTTGGAAGGTCTGGTGGGCAGGAAGAGAGCAAGGTTGAACCCTCCCTAGCAATTCACAGAGTTCATCTATAGTTATTGCAGATAATTGCTTTATTTTGGCAAGTTTCTGTTAGTAAGTGAGCAACAATAAAGATACTATTCACATGTAGTTCTTGGTTCTCTGGACCTGACATGGCCTCTCCTAAGAAATTAGACTTGTCCCAACATTGTTAGGAATTCTAGCAGCAGGTTAAGTAATTGGATAATGCCATTGGTATCTCATATAACTATACAATGTTTTATTTCGTTTATTTTCATTACACTGTTTTTGATTTTATATTATTTTTCTGTAATTGTTTCATGTGTACACTAACCAAGTCTCCCATGATTGTGGTGGTTCAGAAACCTAATGAAAAAAAAATTAAGCAGCATAATATACAGTATGCATAACCAAAATGACTCAACAAATATCAGTGGGATGAGTGTTTAGAAAATTCTCCTTCGTGTGAGTGCCAACCTATTTCATCTGCGGACACACATTTAAAACACTGTGCCTATCTGCTTGGATTCAAAGATGTGTGAATAAAATGTTTTTGAGCTGCTTTTGTGTGAGCTCTTGTGCAAGATTTCTCACAGTATAGCAATGTCATAGCTGTTATTTTGCAGGATTGAAAAGCCTGTTAAATAAGGCTGTTGCAGGTAAACCTGGATAGTGGAAAGTTACAAGGACTTGCTGAAACACTTTTACAAAAAAAAAATTGTACAAAAGTTTGTGCAAATGATAGATCTCTTCCATTTAGTCAGAAAGAAGAATCCCATGAGTAAAAGTCTAAATCACTGTGTATACCTCATTGCTGTTGCTGGAAAAGATCAGAAGATTCATATTTATGAGATGAGTTAGAGAGAGTCACTAAATATCATTCATATTCACAAGACCTGAGCCGGTGGGACATGTATTTTTCTAAGACTTTTTATCCTATTGATTTGGATAAGGGGATAGATGGGGAACTCATCAAATTTGCAGACGACACCAAGATGGCAGGAATAGCCAACATTCCTGAAGATGGGCTTAAGATACAGAAGGATCTTGACAGACTTGAACATTGGGCGCTATCTAACAAAATGAAATTCAGTGGTGAAAAAAGCAAGTTTCTACATTTAGACAAGAAAAATCAAATGCACAGGCATAGTATAGGTGGTACCTTGCTCAAGAGGAGCAACTGTGAGAGGGATCTTGGAGTCCTAGTGGACAATCACTTAAATATGAGCCAGCAGTGTGCTGCAGCTGCCAAAAAAGCCAACACAGTGCTAGGCTGCATTAACAGAGGGATAGAATCAAGATCATGTGAAGTGTTAATATCACTTTACTATGCCTTGGTAAGGCCACACTTGGAATGCTGCATCCAGTTTTGGTTACCACGATCTAAAAAAGATGCTGAGACTCTAGAACGAGGGGTAACATGATAGCAGTGTTCCAATATCTCAGGGGCTGCCACATAGAAGAGGAAATAAAGCTATTCTCCAAAGCACCTGAAGGCAGGACAAGAAGCAATGGATGGAAACTAACCAAAGAGAAAAACAACCTAGAACTAAGGAGAAATTTCCTGACAGTTAGAACAATTAATCAGTGGAACAACCTGCCTCCAAAAGCTGTGAATGCTCCAACACTGGAAGTTTTTAAGAAGAGACTGGACAGCCATTTGTCTGAAATGGTATAGGTTTTCCTGCCTGAGCAGGGGGTTGGACTAGATGACCTCCAAGGTCATCAAATGAGTGAAAGTTTATTCCATGCTACCTCTAAACAAGAATCTGAACTACTAATGGGCAAGGTAAATTTACTACTTAAACTATCACTTTTATGGCTTATATAATTAGGGCCTTGTTAGGAACTAGGATTGTTCAAATGAGTGCAAGTTTATTTCATGCTACCTCTAAACAAGAATCTGAACTACTAATGGGCAAGGCAGATAAGAGGGTCAAAGGAATTCCAGAAGGGCTGGATTTAGATCTTTTGTTGGTATGAAGAGACTCTAAACTGATGGTGCACTTGACCCTTTCCTCAGATTCAGCCTGGTCATCTCTTACAGGCCCAATCTGTGAGCCAAAAACCACGTTATCCTTATTGCATAGAAGTAGCTGTGTTGGTGATTCCAGTATGAAAGGAGACATATAGATGGAAAGTGCTTTTGTTACTTCTCATAGCTACATGGGAGAGGAACATGCTTCAAAAGGAGTGAGCAGAGGGTGGAAAGGAACAACATTCTCTGCACGTGCTTCAGTTTCCCTGAAATCCCTGAAACCAGAAGATGTAATTGTACATTATACAGTGATAGTTTCTGCCAGGAATTTGAAGGATCATCCAAATGCTTTGTGGGCAAAGTTGACATGTAATCTATAGTCTTCTTAGTGGGCAATGACTTTCATCTTGCTATGGGTGGGATCATGTTGACTTCAGCTATGGGAAGAAAGATCTGCAAATCCCTGAATGTTGTCCTGGTTTTTGTGTGTGTGTGTTTGACCTGAGCAGAGTATGGATATAATCTAGAATCTGGCTGGTGCAAATTTTACTGTAATGAGGGATACCAAAATTTCCAAGATTTATATAAAGGCAAAGTTGGCACTAATTGTTGGCTCTGATTGGTTAATGAAGTAT